GGTAACACCAAGTTCGGAGCCAGTCATTGACCTGCTGGCTCTTCCTGTTTACCCCCTCATCATTCCCTGCAACTGGAGGGGTAGAAGAGAACAAGACTTGTGCTCCCAATCCCTTAACCAGTCGTTCTGAGGCCCTGAAATCTTTCTTCATTGCCCTCGTACTTCTTTTCACTATGTCGTCACTGCCTACCTGAAAGACTAAAAGGGGATAATAATCTGATTGCTGCACCAGGGAAGGAAGCTGCTTCTTAATATCATTAACCCGGGCCCCAGGGAGGCAGCAAACTTCCCTATATAGCGGGTCCACTCTACATATCGGGCCTTCTGTTCCCTTCAGGAGTGAGTCACCTATTACAGTGACCGTCTTTTGTTTTTGACTGTTGAGGTTTTGATTCGGGTGGTGGTCCGACTAGGCCTCCATGACACCTCCAAGCTGGGAGGATTATCATCCTCACCGTTGTTCAGTTCCCCTTGCAGAGCACTGTATGTGTTCTGCAATGGCACCTGGGAAGGTGTGGTAGTCAGCAGGCAGATGCGCCTGTTGCGTCGGGCAGGAACATTCACCATTGCCCCCCGTCCTCCAAGTTACCCCATTCAGTCAGTCAGGGAGAGGAGTGGGAGCTCTCCGCAGCAGGGGCTCTGTCTGCCTGCTGGGTTTCTGTAATGGGAGACAGGGTATGACTCCAGGCATCTATCTCCCTCTCGCATTCCCTGATAACCCTCAACCTACTTACCTCCTCCCTGAGCTCCATCACTAAGCGTGGGAGCTCCTCTACCTGGGCACACCTGCCACAGGCATGCTCACCACTGCTATCCAACGTTTGCATAAGAGCAGGGCACACCCTGCAGCCTGATGCCTGGGTGGCTACGTGTTCCCACGAGAGCTCTTGTCTGTGAAGCAGCATGAGAGCTGGTGCGTGCACAGTTCATCAGGTGAACCTGTGCCGAGGGTAGTGCTGGCTTCACCCCTGCCACGTCAGCAGCCCTCCCCCAAGCTGCTGCTCCCGGCATGAGCTAGTCACTTTTCCTGGCTTTGAAAAGCTCGAAAAAGAGCCCCTTGCCGACCCTTTTTGCCTCGATTCCCTTCCCCAGCGTGGACTTACCTGCACTGGAGCTGGTCTCCTCGGTGATATGCTATCTGCTGTCATACTCCATCATCTGTTTCTGTTAAGTAAGTGTTCTGCTGGGTTGCCTGTCAAGAGCATTTTTGGAGCAAAAATAAGAGGAGGTCCCCTCTTGTGCCTTTCTACTCTTATCCAAGTGACTGCTCTTGCTGATTGCAGAGGGCTTAAAGCTTTCTGCATGTATTTACTAGAGCCAGGCCCTTGTAATGGGGGCGGGGGGGAAATGTCTCTGTCTTGCTTAGATGCATTTGTAGTTCCCTGAATGAAAGTAGAGATTCTTATATGAATCTAGTAAATCTACTTCAGCAGGTGTGAGACTTGCACAGTGGTTTCCCATCTGTTAAGCCTGTAGCTAATACTTCACCTCTCATCTGGAGCATGACAATGTGGCCTTGCCTGTTCTAAGCGTGTGTCTGAGGTGCTGGAGGCTGTGGATGTAACATCAGGTTGCAGAGGCGGAAGAATGAGGATGTGTTACTAGTTAGGACTCTGTACAAAGGGGAAGGGGAAACTCCCTGGCTGCATCTACATCTTTTGGATGTCTGCTGTCACATGTCCTGCTTGGTGTATTCCAGTATGTTACAAGTTTTGTGACATTCAGTCACACTTGGTATGGTGACAGCAGTCGGCACGTGGATGTAGCTGGCATAACTCACTCTTTTCCCTTCCTGTTTGAATGCTTGTTTAGGCTGTAATTCAGTGGTACTTTAAAGAGGGCTTAAAAAGCCCTAGAGTTTATAACCTGGCATTATGTTGTGCAGTAAGGAAAAGCATAGATGTGGTGGGGTTTAATCTACGTAGAAGAGTTGTTTGGGATAGAGTGCTTACGCAGAATAAACCTTTTGCACAATAGAGATGAGATGACAGGACATATTGCAAATTCCATCATACAGAATCTCCCCAAGACTATTTCCAAGGGATCCTTGTTTAGCTGAGGCTTCAGTTTTAGATTTTGTGAAAACAAAATGTACTCCTTTTACTCAATCTAATGGCATAACTGAATTGTGCTAGAATGTTTTGTTTGGACTGGAAACTTGTTGTGGCTTCCCATGTGATGGTGTAACATGGTGGTGCTTGGGTTATAGGATTCTTAGTCTGTCTTCATTGCTGGGTGAAGTGCTAAAAGTGCCAGCTTATAAGAATAAGGTGTGCTTGTGTGAGAATATTTGATTAGGGATAGCTTCAAAATTATTTAAGAGCCTGATCTATCTTAGCAGCAAAGTAACTAGTGATTATTATGGTTATGCTTGCTTACAGCTAGCCTGTTGATCAACAAAATGCACTTGGTGGCAGCTGGGACGGTAATTTCTCTCAGTCACTTATCATAGCTTGACAGATAGCTAGGTAGAGTGTGAGCTCATGGAGGAAACCAATGTGATGTTCTTTTCTCTGCTGCCATGTACTAGCTTATGGTGTGTTTGCTTAGAGGCTTGTGACAAACAGAACAAAGCTGTTCTTGATCTTAAATGGCTTATTATCTTTGCTTATCTGGCAGAGCTGGGGCCTGCTGAGAATTAAGCTTCTTACTATGCACCATCAGAGTAGCTGATGGCCTCAGAGGAGAAGGGAAGTAGTATATGTAATTGAAGCTGCTGTTTCAGTAGTATCAATGGGATTTATCTGCATCACTCCATAGCAGTGGGGAAACTTATATGTTGTGGAGAATACTAGTCGGTAGTTCCTCTTAAAGAAAATATTAGACATCAAGCAGCAGCACTGCAGAGCCATAGCATCCATCTTCCTTACTGTGTTGTATGTCCCTTCTCTGTTTGACAGGTATTCGATCGGTGAGCTTCTATGAGCATGTCATTACGGTGGGAACAGGGCAAGGTTCCTTATTGTTTTATGATATCAGAGCCCAGAGGTTCCTGGATGAAAAGCCCCCACATGCCTGCTATGGACAGAAGCAGAAATTAGGAGGCAGTGAAATTTTGAAGTTGACTACTGGGAAAGGCTGGCTGGTGAGTAGCTTGTAGCTGTAGGAGACCCTTTACACAGGAGTGCTGTAGGGCTTGAACCGGTTCTTTTTGTAGTAATGGGAGCTATTGGATGAAATGCGACACAGTAAAACGGTGATCATGTAACCAATAACTGTAATCATGAAAAGCAAGAAGTGCTGCAGAATTGCTCTCTACAAAAGCTTTATGAAAGGGTATTGAATGGTTGGTTGTTTGGGTATAAGGCATGCTGACTACTCTTCTTATGCATTGATTCATAATTGAACTAGATTTTATAGGTTTATATTTTTGAATGTAATCTAAATTCTGTTTTCAGAACCTCAAACACAAAATACGTTTTCTTCTTTTAAAAATGTGGTACTCAAAGTAAGAGAGATTTAATTGTGTGCATTTTTTAATTTAATTGTGTGCATTTTTAAAACTGGCTTCCTGAGGTAATGCTACAGCAGGCACTTGAGTTCAATTTCCTGTATGTTATCATAAAGCAGTTAATGGCTTTGTCTAACTTCTCTCTATTATCTTTTGTACCATTGTGTTGTAACTTTAAAAACTAATGAAACTGGATATCTTCCCTACCCTTCACCTTCCACCCTCCAATGTTTGGTCCAAATGTCCTCAGAAAAAGCTTCAGGACACCTCTGGTATCTTCAAGTTGATCTGTCTGAAGCTTCAGGGAGTATTAACAGAAAAAAATTCCTTTTTAGGCTCTGGAAGCTACCTTCTGCTTCTGTGAGACAAGGTTTTGGGTTTGTTTGGCAACAATAACAATCTAAACTTTCCTTTAACAGAATCATGATGAAACCTGGAGGAATTATTTTTCTGACTTAAATTTCTTCCCAAATGCTGTTTACACCCACTGCTATGACTCGTCTGGAATGAAGCTCTTTGTGGCAGGAGGCCCCCTTCCATCAGGACTTCATGGGAATTATGCTGGTCTCTGGAGCTAATGATAACTCTTTGTAAATGCTGATCTCTACACAGATTTCCACTTTTATTTCCCTTTTTTTAACAGTAAAATTGTGTGATGCCATTGATTTCTGATTTAAATGCAGGTTATTTTTTGGCAGAGTCTTCTGTTGGTCTCCAACAGTCTTGTACATCTTTTTGAACCAGTATTTTTGCTTTAACCTCCTTGATCCTTCATATGAAGGGGTTTTGAAATCCCCCCCCCCTTTTTTTTTTATTGTATTTACTCCAAATGACTCTTCCCCCACATTTAGGCTATCTTGGCTGCTCCTGGGCTTTCTGTGAAAGTCTAGGGGCTGCAAGTCTGCAGATACTTTGTGTCAGTTACATTACCTGGAATGAGGACTACTTGTAATTAAAAAAATACTAAAAATATTTGAGATAAGCTACTACTTTATCTGCAGACCCTGGCCCGGGTTGATCTTATTTTTTTGAAAGTAAAAGTCTAATGACACTATTTAGAGGAATACGGTAATTTTAAGCTGTATTCATTGGAGTCCAGGGACGGATTCCCCAGGGATATTGCCCATCAAGCCCAAACTGCAGAAGTGCAGGAGTTCTCAAAAGCACATTTGTATTTGAATTGTAGTTTTCAGCAGTGCCAGGAGCAAAAATTGATCTTCTGTTTCTTCTTTGCCTGTCCCAGGTATCAGCTTGCACAACTGGAGTTTGCGTAGGCTGTTCTGCAGCGTGACTATTGCAGGGTGACATTACATGGAGGGCCTGCAGAGCTGCTGAGAGGAAATGGGGGCTAGGGACATGAGTGTTCTTGTCATTCAAAATGAACTAAATTTATCCATTTTCCAGATGAGCCAAGGTTCCTTAGTATGCTGCTGCAGTAGTTCATGGGTTCTTCATAAACTGTCTAAAATCAAGGACCTTTTTTGTCCCAGGCTGTGGAAACTTTTCCCATCTTAGCTGTTCTGGTTGGCCATCTCTTCTAATACATCAATGGAATAAATCAACTGTTTGGGGGTTTTTTTCTCCAAGGTTAGAGTGCATCTCAGACTTGTCTAATGCAAGCTAGAAGCTTTCCATGTAGCAAGATAACTTGCTGTTAGCTCATGTTGCGCTAACATCTGCTGTCATCCTACTTGCTATAGGAGATGCTCAGTCTTTCCCCAAATCCCCTTCTGCCTTCTGCATTCAAACTCCCTCAAACTTCATGTGGGACTAGGTGGGGAGAAGAGGTACAATGCCCTTCATGTCCAGCCGTGAAGCGTGCGCATTCCAGGGTGATAGTCTTACCTAATACTTGGCTAAAATGCAGGACTCCAGGGTGCTCCTCCTAGCCTTTTGGCAGGCACCAAACTCTCAACTCATTACTGACGCCTCTGTCTTCTGCTGGGATGAATGCCTTTCCCCTGCCCCTGTCACCAGTGGAGTAGAGTGTGCCTGTACCTCACTGCTCTGGTGCCAAATGGGGAGTTGGCTGAAGCTGAGAAGAAAGACAAGACTGGGACATGCTCTGTTCTCTTGTCTCTGCCGGAGATCACAGCCACCACTGTAGAGTAGCTCTAGTCCCTTATGCAGTTCCTGCCAGACTACCTCAAGCTAGTCTGCATGTGTTCTTGCAGTCCCTCTCATCTTTGTACTCAATATCTTCATCAGTAACACCAAACAGTGAGACTCAGGCTTATTTTCCAGTTGGTAGTGGAGACTTGGATGGAAATCTTGCAAGGAGTGCAGTTCCTTTCCATCCAGATGGAAATCCTGGCAAGAGAAGAGCTCTCCCAGATGTCCACTTGTCCCCGCTGGGGGGGGGTCCCACGCTGACCACTGACACGGGTGCTTCACAAACAGATCTTCTTGCAGTGGTTCTTAATTCTACTTCCCTCGTAGGTTGATTGCTTAGACTGAATCAGTTCACGGTGCTGTGTGTGTGGCTATTTAGGCTTTTCTCTGAAAAGAGGCAAATTATATCCCATGGGGTAGCAAAGGAGCTCTCAAATTTTAGAGCTGTTCATTGTTTTTTAAAGATGTTGTAATGGTGCCTGTGGTGTTCTGTGATGGCAACATACTATGGTTATTTTAGGGGTTTTGAAAAGTAGAAGTATACAGAGAAAAACAAATCTTGGCAAGATGTGTATTTCTAGGATTACTCTTCCAGCTACTGTGTAAGATCACTCTGTCACAGGGAACATGTTCTGGTTAGGTTTTTTTTTTATTATTTGGGCTTGGTTTGAGGTGCCTTTGTTGTTTTTTTGGGTTTTTTTTTCCTCCTCTAAAGAAACTAGACACTTGAGTCTGAGCGTCTTCCGGTTCTGCTGAAACAACAGTTAATAATTAGGCACTTAGTGTCACCAGTGCCAAAAGAAAATTCCCGGTCTGGAAATCCTAGCCCTGATGTTGATCTATTAATTGAAGCATATTCCAGGTCTGGGTGAGGGGGCAAAGAAGGTATTTGTATGGACTGAGCTTCAACCTCTAAATATGGAGGCTGATCTTTCTGCAGAGTCTCTAGGTTACTGAGAAGGTCACCTTGGCACCCCTGGAAAGTGTCCCTCTGCTGACTGATCTCCACGAATACCTCAATGTGTGGTCCTAAAGCCTGGTAGTGCAAGTGCCCTTTTCCTCCCTTTTTTCTGCATAGGAAGCTTTGGACAATTCTTGGAAGAATCTGGACAATAATGTAAAATTCCTCAAGTCTCACATGCTTCTGTGTATTCTGCTTTCGGGGTGCTTCCTTGGAAAGATAGCTTCTCATGGAGAGGGAGCCATCCTTGTTGCTGTATGAAAAGCCCCCCAAGAAACTGGAAACAAACCAGATAGTGCTGCAAGCACGCAAACAAATTGGGCCAGAAAGAACTTAATTTCAAAACCGGTTTCACTGGTTTTAAATGCTTGCAGTGATACAGATGTTAAGTTTCAGACTATTTTGTGGTTAGTCATATGTCACTTTTGGTCCAGTCAGTGTTAGAAATTGAGGCAAAGAAAGGTGGTGATATGCCAACTGTCCAAATATAAGTGAAAGAAAACCTAGCTTTTTCTCCTTTGATTTGATTTTGTTGCCCTACTGGTTTAGATATCAGAATTGAAATCTAGGATCATGGTGAGAAAAGCAGGGGTTTCCTATCAAAGTGCAGGAATGGCTGTACAGCAGGGAATCTCTCGGCTCCTCATGGAGGTGAGTTGGGTGCACCCTGTTGTTCAAATGGCAAATATACCCCCACGATAGATGGAGTTCAGTCTGGTGACTGCACTCCAGTAGATTCTTGAACAGCTCACTGTGCTCTGCTGAGACCCAGTGGCATTTGCATTGCTGTTTTATCTCTTCCAGTGTTTCTTAATGATTTCCTTCCCTTGCTTTTTCCTGCCCTCCTGAATGGTCTGTTTGGGGTCGACTCCTCCACCCCAAATTATCTCATTCTTTACTGTAGCAATATTGTATTTGCAGAGGTGACCTCTGTTGGAGCAGAAATGGGCTTGCTGGCATTTTGTCAAGTCATGCTTGAGACCTTCAATTTGCTTTATTTGAAACTGGGCAGACCTTTGAGGCTGGCTCAGACTGTAGAACTGGGCAGTTACCCTAGTACATGTTTTACTAATGGGAGGATTACACAGTAACAGTCTATTCCTGGGGGGGAACAGACTCTGGTTTATCACACATTATATACCTGAAGGAGAGAAAAGAATTTTAATCATAACAGACCTTCAGACTTTTCTTCCTGCTATTGACTTTTCAGTCATGTGGGATCTTTTGTGCTGCTGGTGAGTGTAGGAAGTAGTTAATTTTACTGCTCAGCTCTTTTCAGTAGACTACCATGTTAATTTGGATATCTTTGGGTATTGCATTTTTATTATGTTCATAATCACATGTAATCAAACTAGTGACTTAATTATGGGTTTGGTAATACCCAGCTTGTAAGTACTGGGTAGCAATCCCTCAGTAACAATTGGGTGTTATGTGATGGACATTCCTAAGGAAGCAGAAGCTACTTTGCAGTATTGGCTTGAGCATAGCAATGAAGGTGGTGCTCACCCTCTTCACCAAACACCTTATTTCTGTTAATATTTCTGGTTTTCTCCCTTGTGCCAGTCAGACAGGGAGAATTGCTAGTGCCCTCCTCGGGTGCTTTCTGGGATTGCTGTAAAGAAGTGAGTCCATTTGTTTGGTTCCCTCATCAGTGCTGCTGGTGTTAGTCCAAGGTGAGTAAATTACCAAAAAATAGTTAATAGGTGTTTGTTCCTAGTCTCAGTTGTTCATTTTCCACATAGATCCATATTTAAGATTCATTGCAAGAGTGCCCAGTGATCTTACTGTACATAGTCTGTCCACAAAGGTTACATTCACATTGTTGGTGACTCCTATGACTCGCTTAATGAGGGGGACACCTGAACTTCATTATGGGGATATATTTGCTGCCTCCATTTCAAGTCTTTGGCACCTTTTTGTATCTTAAGGATTAAGATGCTTATGTATCAGTTATTCTTCTCCAGAATTTCATCCTCTTCCTTCACTTGAGCATTTCACAGAATCACAGAATGGTCAGGGTTGGAAGGGACCAATCTAGTCTTCGTACCACTATTAATACTGTCTATTCTTGCGTTTTTCTCTGGGAACGGGAAAAAAAGCATGTTGTCTGCTCTGTGCTATCGTATCAGGAGTCTGTGCTGTGAGTGAATGCTTGCTTTGTAATTGTAAAGCCATGAGTGAGACTCTTAATTTTCAATGTGTATCTATTTGCTTTAAATATACAAAATGTCACTCTTTAAAAAAAAAAAAAATTGCAAATTTGAGTGCTGTTTTCCTTTTCTGATGTGGATGCTGTAAGTCCGATGATTGAATCTTACACCAGGGCCAAGCATGAGGGCTTGCAGGGTGCATGGTCCCATAAGCTTCTTCCCATACCCTTTATTTTCCAGCATGAGAAGACACTGTGCTGTGATGCCCATTTTAAACCATATTAATCCCAGACTAATAAGTTGCAGTCCTTATTTAGGTTGGCTCTAGGCATCCATCTCTTCATTGGGCAAGATATCAAAAAGAGAATGCATGTAGGCAAGGATTAGGAAAGTTTTATTTATGTGGTTACTGGAGTTTGAACTGTGTGCCTAGATAAATGTCAGGATCCGCTTCTTTCAGATATGGGAGAAGTTTCTATAATATGAGAAAAGGTGCTTCACCAGCTCATGTTGTCACCTGAACATTTTACCAGCAACAGCCCTTGTCCTGACCTCACTGACGTGAGGGCTCTGTGGAGGTCCTGACACTGTCACCCTTCAGTATCGTAGGGAAGAAATACCAAGACACTGGAGTG